GGATGAGAGTGAGTGAGAAAGAGAAAGCGAGAAAAATATATTTTTTATTTTAAAAAAGATACTGTGATCTTTTTATATATACAAAATTTTTCTCCTAATTTATAAAAGCTAGATTGTCATCCCTCGTAGAAAGGTTCATGTGAAAAAGTGAGATAAAATTGATTTTCAAAAAATTATATTCTTAGGAATTTTTTTTAAAAAATAATGACCAAATATGTAAACTAAAATTTTTACTTTAAGATTTTCAGGAATATAAAATTATTTTATATATTAGGCTTCTCTAATTTATGAAAAAATTGATTTAAACATATTTTTATTATCAAAATACCATAAGTTAGTTTGATTTTGAATTTTATAATTTTTTTTTCTCATGTACAACAATAAATTTGAATCCAAAACTCTATGTATAATATAAAAATACACTATCATAAAATTAAAGTAGGAATTAAAGTATATGTTTCTTTACTATTTTTTCTATAAGAAATTATTGGCATTAAAATTAAGTGGTCAATTTTGGGCCACCTGTCTAAAAGGGGTCAAATTGTATTGGATTGAGTATACTCTGAATTTAGGTCAAATCAACTATTTTTGGGGGGAATAGTTGTGCAAAAGTTAGAGGATAAGACATGAAAAACTCGTCTGGAATAAGGCCACTTGGCCAATTGCTCATGATATGTTAAGCAATATGCAACCACAATTGCCGCGAACGTGGCTAGTTAATGATAGCATAGTGGACTAGTGTTGGTATCTCATGTACAAAGAATGAACAGAAGAATATCATATTCATATGTAAGACATGTCCTCAAACATGAATACAAAGTCTATCTTTCCAACCATTTTTTTTTTCCTTTTACAATTTTATTTAATATTCTTTCGTTTACTTGCAACATTTCTTAGGACTAAACATAACAATTTTTTTTATTTCAATAGTTTATATACAGCCTTTATGTTTACATTTCAGTCATTTAACGCAATTCTTTTACTACTTTTCACTTAAGAAAGTTCTGAAAGAGAGAGAGAGAACATTCCTTAAGAAAATCACCTAAAAGGAATCACATAGTTGCTGTTACTTGTCTCTCAACTGTTGGCCTCATGCAAAGGAAAAACATATATGAAATAAGGAAAACTAGTATCCATTTGTTAATATAATTAATAAAATAAAAATTACGCAAATTCATCCATTTAAATTTTATATTCAAAATTAAAAATTTTAAATACGAGTACTTAAATTTAAATTAAATGAAAATAAATAAATATTTTTTTAAAACTAGAACTAGTATTTTGATGTATGCAAGATAAATGTTTATATTTTATAACTAAGATTTATAAATATAAATAAACATATGAATAAATAAATATTTTTAACATATAAATTATATTTTAAATTTATAATAAATTATTTATATTGTGGCATATTCTTTTAACTATTTATTTATTTTAAACATATATTAAGAGTCAATTTAGAAACAAAATAAATTAAAAGAGATAAAAGGTTAAGAAAAATCTCTAAAAAAAATACTATTGTAAAATGAAAATTTCTAAAAAATTCATTAAAGAAGGTCCTAGAAACACTCATGTTCGTGTTTTTCTTCTTCTTCTAATTTATATATGAAGGATAATATTTAAAATATATAAAATATTTTATATTTATAATATATATATTGTAATATAAAATATATATGTTAAGATTCAATTAAAAAATATAAAAAATAAATTAAAAGAGATAATGTGTATATTGTCACTCCCAATGTTAATGTCATTAAAATTATTATAGCTATTGTTGTGTTGTCGCTCACAATGTCATTATTGTGTATGTTTTGTTCCCGATGTCAATATCATTAAAATTATCATCATTGTTATTTTGTTGTATTATCACTCTCAATGTCAATATCGTGTATGTTGTCACTCCCAATGTCAATAACATTAAGATTGTCATTATGGTTGCGTTGTCACTCTCAATGTCAATTTTATGAAAATTATTATCGTTATCATCACTGTTGTCCTACCATTATCAATGGTGGTTCAGACAACCACAACAATAACGATGATAGTGATAATGATAATAATAATTATGACGATGATGAAGTAGATAATGGTGACGATGACAATTATGTTAACTATTATGATAAAAATAATTATAATAATAATATGTGATAATTTTATTCATTATTTTTTTTTAATTTGAATTGTTTATTTTAATTTAATAGTATTTATCAATATTTCTATAAGAAATATTCGTTGTTTATAACTTGATATGAAACAGCCCATGTATGTATAAGTGAAATTTATTGTAAAGAACTGTATAGGAGAAATATTTGTTCATAAAACAACACGTGGTAAAGCTTTTTAAAAAATAGTCTAAATATTTGTATTATGAATATAGTTTATATATTAGAAGTTTAATCATGTTAATTATTTAGAAGTAGGATGCAAAGTTTTTTTTCCCCTAATGATGTATAGTCGTCCTTTGTTTTTTGTTTTTTTTAGAAAAAGATCTAGTCCTTACTTAAGCAGTATACTTTTATTAAATAGGAAAATTAGATTAATGAAGATGCATGCTAAGCTGAATTGGACACCACTTATCACAATATTTTGTTAACATTGACCTAACAGTAACATATCTTAATCATATTTGCAAATAGGAGCACTTACGTATCATGTATCGATAAAAAAAAAATCACAAGTAAGAATCAAACCTAAACATTAATTATATGTTATAAGAGTGCTTCAATTCTTTATAATGGAAATTGACGTAAAACTGTATTGACTTTGATCAAACCCAAGCTGATAGTTCGAAATACATGTTACTAAAGTTTAAAATCTCTTTATGGTGGTGTTATACTTTGATAATGACTCAAAAACGGTTAATAAGAGATGAGTGCCTACTAGAAGTAGGTCGACACTCGACACTTAAGCAAGTGACCTTTTTTAATATAGTAACATTTTTTTGTTCATTTAACATAGAGTATTCTCGTTAAATATGATAACTATCTCTTTTGCTTATAAAAAAAAATTAAATAAAAAGGCACCATGTATCTTGTTAATGTTGTGTGGAGGATGCAGAAGTTATAAAAAAAGTTTCGGAGTAGGCAATTAAAGAGGAAAACAATTTTGGATAAATAATAATTTGTTTAAATTAGGAAAATAAAATTATTAAGTTATCCTACTATGAGGAAGTGTATAGTTACCATCGTAAATAAAAGGGTAAAAATATCTTTAAAAATTTGTACAATAAAACACTATATCACATTTTACTCAATAATTCAAGTTCTACATCAAATTTTAACAATTAAACTATTAAATTAAAAATTATTAATGTATAGATCAAGTATGTAAAATTTGAAAAAATCTATAAAAAAAATTAATATTCCGTTTCAATAATTTAATTTGACATAAAATTATAAAAATATTTTATATGTTGATTTGAATTAATGAAATAGAGTATCAGATGATTTTCATTTGATACTCTATTTCGTTAATTCAAATTGATAAATAATCATAAAAATATTTTATATATTGATTTGAATATGTATAATGAAGTATCCTATATTTTTCATATATTTTAAAATTTTGCATAATTGATTTATGCATTAAATTTTTTTATTGAACAAATGAATCATTAAAATTTAAAATAGAATATGAGTTATTCAGTGGAGTAATTGAATCCCTCTGGCCCTCTCTTTTTATGTATATACTTGCTTAATATAATAACATTGATTGTATTTATAGAAATTTGAAATTAGTCGCATTTCTTAACACAAAGTCTAAGATCTCTGAATGATAATATTAATATAACATGATAATCTTACTTTGAGTTTAGATATGATTTATTTTTCATAGATGCATTTTAGAATGGATAATAATGAACATACATTCTATTCTTTTACAACTCACTCTACTTCATTAATATTTTTCTCTGTATCTTTCTACATTTGTTTTTATTATATTACATGTTAAATTTATTACTTTCTCTATTTTTCCTCCTTTTCCCTCTGTACCTCTCTTTCCTCATCCCAATCCACCTTAAAATGGGATGAATATTTTCCATTTAGAATCATGTATGCGAGTGCTGCTAACCTCGATCAACACTTATTATTTGAACACATCTAAAATTTTGGACAAGATTATCCAACATGAAAATAATTATCTTCTGAAAGAATAATTTTAGGTATTTTTCTTTAGAAAGAACATTTTTAGGCACTTTTTCTTTTAGAGTTTTAGAAGATTTTTTTTTTAACTTCTTAATTATTTTAATTTGTATTTTTCATATTTATTATTAATAATTTTTTTATTTTTAAAATAAATCAGTAATAATTAAAAATAATATTATATTACAACAATTTTTTTTCATATATAATTTATATATTTAAAAATATTTATTTATATAAAATTTATATATAATATAATTTATATATTCAAATATAATATTTATTATAAATTTTAATTATATAATAAATATTTAGTCTGAACATACATATTTAAATTTAAAACAGGATTTATTTAATAGAATCATAATAGTTGAATGATATAATTTTTAATAATAACTTGCACAACTAGTGGGATTAATCAAAACAACAAAATGATTTTGGATTGGAATTGTGTATGTGGTTTCATTATTGGTAATTAGTAAACCCTTCCACAAATTATTATTTAGCTTTATGAGCTGTGAGTGTGTTTTGGAACTAGCATATCCAAATAACGGAAAACTTGCTTTTGTTTGCTGCATATACATAATACAGTTAAATAGAAAGAAAAGAAGTTGTTAAATAATTTTAATAAAAAGAATATTTTATTGATTTGTTATTCTTCACTAAAATACTTAAAAATATTCCTTTAATTATTTAATTTTCGCTAAAAAATAACATTATAAAAAATAATAATAATTTGTTAATTTTTAAAATAAAGATAAAAAAAAGGGAAATATTTAGTAGTATTTGATTGTATCTGAAGTTAAATTAAATTGTCTTCTATAGAAAAAAAAAAAAGTGATTCAAAATAGAAGTGAAGCGGCGAGTTTAGTGTGAAATTAAGGCATGTAGGATATACCCATCTCCAGGGAATGGATGAACATATCGATAAGTTCATATTCATAAGAATCATAACCATCACGATAAACAAGAAATCGAGAGAGAATGTCTCGTAATCGCATCTCCACACTCTATCTTCTCGCTTACAACTCCTTTCAGGCCATTGGATGGTACAATAAAATCCTTCATCTTATCTAATCTCTTTCTTTCTCACTCTCTCTAATCTAATTTCTCTCTCACAGGACAATTTCCCTAATTAACATTCTCCGCAATCTTCTCGCCACTGCCTCCGTCACCGGAACCTACGCCGCCGCCGGCAACTTAATCTGTCAGTTCATTCCTAAACTCCTCTTCTCGCACTTTAATCATTCCATTCCATATATTGCGTAAAACAAACACAATTGAAAAGGAATAAGCGTTGAATTGCTTCATCGAATATTACTCTCTCTTTTGAATAGTTCTTAATTTGAAGCACGAGAGTAGGAAATTTTTTAACGGTAGGGTTTAAATTTTAAAACACGATATATATGAAAATCGATATGGACTAATAGTGCAATGTGTTTACCAAGATATAAAAAATATTTAATAAAATTTCATAGATAGGAAACGAATTTTTAACTCCAACTAAACTAAAGGTAGATAAAAAATATTTAGTAAAATTTGAGTTAGGAAACGAATTTTAACTCCATCAACTAAACTACAAAAGTAAAAGAAGATGACTAATTTTTTTGTTTTTGTTTAAGGATGTAATTGAAAATTTTTAAAAAGTTTTAGAGAATGTAACTAATATAACAGTACAAAATTGGCTCGTAAAGTACCATTCTGCTCTTGTATTTGTTTTAAGAGCAAAGCTGAACCTTTGGTTGCGATTTCATGTCAAAATAGGAATCGAAGCTCAGTCCGGTTAAGAGTCACGATTGCTAAAGTACTTGTGCTATGGATTTTCATAATCAGTTAGTTACTTTGAAGACTATTTAGGAGTGAGAGTAATACTCTAGGGACCAAAATTGATGATATATTCATTAAGAAATGTAGTTATTTTGTTTAATTTTTCTGCTCAAGGTTTTCTGCAATGCGCTGCGTTCTTGGAAGTGATACACGGAGCCATTGGTGCGTTTTACTTCAGTGAATAAGATTGAATTGCTTTGTTAGCAGAATGTAATTTTTACTTTAAAATTGGAGAAGCAGTTTTAACGTTGGTGTGGTGGAATTTCAGGCATTGTGCCCAGCGGGGCGTTGCTTCCTCTTATGCAATGGGGAGGAAAGACACACTTTGTGCTCGCCATTGTTCGGAAACTCGATGAGGTTTTATGGCGCATTTTGAGTTATTGTCGTTTTGTCTTGCCATGGATCTGTATAGCACTAAAAATGGAAATTTTTAAATAAGTGAAGCTTTTCTGTTATATGTTTTACTTTTTTTGTTTAATGCTTTTTGACAAGTGCAGGGTGTGTTGGCAAGACTCATTTCAATAATATAATTCCATTTCTGGTCACTTTCATCTTCATAAGCTCTTTAGGTCGAACATTGTAGTCTAGATTTTAAATGTTTAGGTCGATCGTTTGAGTCTAGATTTTAAAACTCTTCAGTTAGTCCGTTACTTGACAAAATGAGTAATGACATTTACTTTATTATCATTATTTTTAAATAGAGTAAGAGAAGACTAAAATAAATGATTTTTTTTATAAAGTCAGGAACTAATCTGAACTAATAGAGAATTTTTTAAATCTTAGGGACTGAAATGCATGGCCCTTAAATTTTGAGGACTAATCTGAAAGTTTACTCCTTGTTTATGCAATGATTGTGAATCAGACAGAGTCACATAGATGCTAACTTTGTCGTTTTTTGATGCATGCTTTCTGTAGCTCCAGGAATTACCTTCAGTTTTTATCACTTTTCTTGCATGGAGCATGGGTGAGGTAATTTGTTTATTTTTTTTAATGGATGTAGTATATTTAGTTTTCTAGCATTACCTCCAAAGCAGTCATTCATGATATGTAATGTTACATACTCATGTTCGTATCAAGGAAAAAACAGACATTGTTGATAATGTCTCTGATATTTTTAGTAGAGCAATAATGGGAAAATGACTTCATAACACATGAAAAGTTCACTTTTAAACAGATTTTTAGCATTTTGGATTTCAGTACTCCTTTAATGATCCCAAACATTTTCTTAAACCCTATGGTGTACTGTAGGTTTTTTGTATTATTTTTTATCTCTTTTCAAGAGAATATCAGGTGATCTGTTGATGGTGTACTGTAGCCAGGTTTTTCCTTTTACCGCACTAATGCTATCTTATGTCTGCAATCCATGAAAATTGTGGTATAAAAGAAATATATGATCTTTTTCCCGAGTAAGAACGATGACTGGGACTGCAATCTTTGGAGATGCAGGTCATCAGATATTCACATTATGCTTTTAGTTGTTTGGGAAATTGTCCTTCGTGGATGACCTATCTCAGGTATTTGTCCATTTTATTCCATATTCTCTAAAGTTGTACAAATATAAGGTTGATAACTTCTATTATATTCCATTCAAGTATATGCTTGTTGCTTTATCCTTTAATTAGGTACACTGCGTTTATTGTGCTGTATCCTTTGGGAGTGGGTCCTGGTGAAAGTGAGTTCATATTTCATAAATCAATATCTCCCTTCTATCTCTACATTTTGTTTTTGAATGAATTTTAAATTGATTTTACTATTAGTCTTGACTTCTCACCCATTCCTTTCTTAATCAAATGTCATCACTTCATAAAGTAACTGATCTGTTAATATAATACAGTATGGATTATGTACCAGGCGCTTCCAATTATAAAGAAGAAAAATCTCTATGCAGATTCCTTTTCAGGCCTCCCATTTAGTTATTATGATTTCCTTAAGGTAAGTTCTTAAAAGTAATCAATAACCCATAATCTCAAACGGATCTTGTAGTTGACACTTGACATCAATTATTTATGGTGTTTTTTGGTCTCCTATTGATTGGGCTTTTGATTACTGGACTTTCTATAGGAGAGGGGGAAGCTTCAAAGTAGTTGTGTCAAACTGTCGATGCATTTGGGTAAAGAGCTTAATTAAGGGTGCATTTGGAAAACTTATTTAGACTTATTTTATGACATAAGTACTTGCGTAGGCTTTTTAGAGAGATGATAAAAATAACTTATGATCAGTCCTCAAGTTGTTTTCAACATATTTCAATAAGCTCTTTAAAATAGCTTATGAAAACTGCTTAAAACTTTCATGAAAATAGTTTAATGTTATTTTTCTTCAATTATAAAAACAACTTATACTAGCACTTATATAGTTATACGATAAGCACTTAACCAACAAGTGCTTAACTAACCTATTTACCCAAACGAGTCCTGAATAATTGAATAGGATTTTATTATGTAAGCACTTATGTATAAGGTGTTTTTATTATTAAATAAGAAATAAGATTATTTTTTTTGGTATAAAAGCTGTAGGTTGTTTTCATAAACTATTTTGGAGAGCTTATTGAAATAAGCTAAATATAACTTATAAACATATCATAAGTTATTTTCATAAAGTCTCCCAAGCATTTACAAAGTTACACTAGAGTTGATGCCGTAAGTCCAAATAGATTGTACATAAGCTCTTCCAAGTGCCCCTAATCAAGTGTGACTCAAACTGGTTTTTGCTGTGTATCAAATGCCTCTTTTCAATTCATTTTTGTCTATTTAGTACGCCCGTGAATTGTTTATTCTTTTTAAATTATGCTCCATTTCTCTCATTCAGGTTGTACTTACAGTTTATCCATTCCTCTGGTTCAAACTTTACTTGCATATGTTCAAGCAACGACGTACAAAACTTCATAAACGCAATGAAAAGAAAAAGGCGTGAGGAGCTTTTATAAACACCATTCCGCTTGGTTAGTGATATTGTATTGATTGCTGAAGTTCTGAACTTGTATTTTTAGCTCCACACACGAAGTATTTAGTTGAATTATTTTTAATAACGTTCTGTATGTGACACTAAAGACATTTATTCTGAAATTCATTTATTTGCTTCTAAACTTTTTCCTTGAGTGGATAATACTGTCAAATAATGTAATTGTTAATTGCAATTAAGATGGTGGTAGGAGCTTGAAGAAAGACCTTGATTTGTAATATATTGCCTATAGTATAGTTCGTGTGGATTAATAATGATAGCTTGCTTATAAAATGAGTTAGTTCATTCTTATTCTGAAATATTGCATTCAAGTTGGTTGTAAATGTGTTGTAATTCAGTTTTCTGATTATGGGCCTGTGTATCTGTTAGAGACCAATTATTAAGTAGTATGACAAGTTAGCAACTGTTTCTGGAACCCAAGTATCCTGAATAACTGTCATGAGACTTGGACTTTTAGTATAAAAACCGTGTATGTACTATCAGTGTGATGAAAAATTCTTCTGATGTGTTTTGTTTCGCTGCTCTAAATCTTTATAAAGTGTGTGTGTGCGTGTGAGATAGTGTTCTTGCACTAACAGATGATGGTTATGGGCTTCAGGATAGTAAGCATTGTTTATATTCCCTCTCTTTCTAAGGATCATTTATAAGAATAAGATGATGGAAAGTTTGGCTAAAACTTCGAAGATTAAATGTGACAATTACTTGGTAAATGATCTTATAGAACACAGGACAAATGTAGCGGAAATCAAAACAAGCAAATGCAAACATGTGAACAACAAAGAGCACCCTCATGGGAATCAAAGAACCATCACCCCAGCCCCCAACTTGGGGAATTTAGGTCCTAATAATCTGTGACGGGTAGCTGTTCATAAGAGCTTGGGGTGATGAAGAAAATCTCGTACACAACAGCAGCAATAGCGGAGCCAATTAATGGGCCGGCCCAGTAGACCCAGTGGTTGGCCCATGTCCCACTAACAACAGCAGGTCCAAAAGAAACTGCTGGGTTCATGGATGCACCATCAAAGGCACCACCTGCCAAGATGTTGGCACCCACAATGAAACCAATTGCAATCGGAGCAATTATCCCAAGGTCACCCTTCTTTGGGTCCACTGCAGTTGCATACACTGTGTAAACCAAACCAAAAGTCATCACAATCTCAAAGACAAGTGCATTTGCCGCTCCCACTCCAGAAGACAATGCAAATGCAGATGTTTCCTGCAATGGAAACACAAAAAAGTAAGAATATATCACAATCACAAGGACAAGTGCATCTTGGAATGAATGAAAGAATATATGTAACATTTTAAGTTTGCAACGTGTCTTACCAATCCACCAGTGGCAAATTTAAGCAGCAAGCAAGCCACTACGGAGCCGAGCAACTGAGCAATCCAGTACAAAATGCCTCTGAGGAGGGTTATGTGGCCTCCAATAAAGGCACCAAATGTGACAGCAGGGTTAACATGCCCACCTGAGATGTTAGCACCAACAGAGACCGCGACAAAAAGAGCAAATGAATGAGATAGTGATGCTGCCACCACCCCAGCTGGTGTTGCTGAGCCATTGTTTGTGAGTTTGTCTGCCAAAAACACCAAAGAGTTCATGGAGTTATTGCATAGTTCCAATTGTTGTCAATGAAAACCAGACACAGAGTAGAGTTGTGCACAAAATAAATAAACAAAGTCCTTACTATATGCCATGCCAGAGCCTTCTCCTGCAAAGACAAAGATCAGCATTGAGATGAACTCAGCTAGAGCAGCCTTAAGTGCATCAGCTTGCCCCAACTCTGAAGGGTTTCCAATGGAAATTCTCGAAATCGGCATCTTTTTTCTTAGGTACAAGATTTCAACTATAAGCTTATATATAATGATAATGCCTTGTGCTTAGTTATGTTAGCAAAGCTTCTTGCTCTAACCTTTACTCAAATGCTGGTTATATATATGCTAGGAACCTTTGTAAGAGTCACGTGGGAAAAAACGAAAAAAGAGCAACTTGTCCTACAATAATTTGTATAATATTTTTCTTCTTCCATCACTCATTTATTTTTTCTTGTCTCTCTTGTTTATAAAAAATATTCTGTTAAAAAATTAATAAAAAAAACTTATGTATGATTTTACAAGTAATTAGTATAAAAATAATAATGTTAAGGTACATGAAAATTCATAATTGCATGAGCCTTGCTTCATTTTAATTAAATTGTAAACAGAATTTGACTTTCGATAAATACAGATGGGGCGCCTCCGTTTTGTTCCCGTGCAGCCACGTGTACGGTGCGATGTGATGTTATGAGGCTGCACCACCGTGATGACCAATACGCGATGGTGGGTCCTTCAATTAGCTTTAGGACCGACCGATTTTGGCGGTATGTTGGTTAGTTGTGCTGGATTTCATGAATTATATTATTTATATATATTCTTTAAAATTTATTTGTTTATTATTATTTTTTTTATCATTCATCTTATGTATACTAGTGGAAGAAAATACATCATGTGCTTACGGTAAAAAAAAGAGAAAATAATAAATATCCTAATAATTATAGGATTATTGGAGATTATATATAGTTATTAAAAGTAAAATAAGAAAGATAAAAGTAATCACTAAATAACTGAATGACTAAAAATTTAATTTGGTCCTTTATAATAATTGTTTGTTTCAATTTAATTTCACTTTTATTTTGGGTCTCAATTTGATCCTAATAAATTAAATTGTTGTAATGTCGAATTTTTGTCTGAATTATTTAGACGGAGTTAACTGTTGGCCACGTGGATGCCACGTAGAAGCTACGTAGATGTCACGTGGATGGCAAATTTTGTCATGCATCTAGAACCAAAACGGCCCGTTCTGTAATTGAAACGGTCTGTTTCGGTTGCACCCATGGTGTGTAAATTTTGCATTTGGAACGTGCCGTTCCAGATGCATTATTTAACACCAACGCGTGCAGCAAAACGGGCTGTTCTGGCTTTTAAAACGGGCCGTTTTGGATTCAGAACGAGCTGTTCTAGAACGCCAACCAACATAGTACACCAGTGTGGTTCAAAAATTAAAAACAAACTATTTACACATACACAATTTTTTTTTTATCTAAAAAATAATATATTTTAAAAAATAAAAATTATATTCTAATATATATATATATTTAAATTATCGTATATAAATTTCGAGGAGTTATTCATTTATTTGATATTTGTCAAACTTTTGTACTTTCTATTTATTGTTTATGTTGATAAAAAAAAATTAAAATTGTAAAAATTTATATCACATATTAAAAATCTTTATATGATAAATAAATTAAACTTAATTTTTATAAGATTTAACATATTTATTTATATGTTTTTATTAGTGTTAAATTATTATTAAGTAGATTTTTAAGATTGTTATTTATTTACATGTATTTTTAACAAAAATTAGGTTTAAATCTGTTAAATTATAATATAACATAATCTGACCTAGTTTATTTTCATCCTTAATCATAATTGTAGATATAAAAACTTGTAAAAAATAACTATAATATATATTTATACTTTTAAAAATTATATGTAAAATTTTTAATATTATAAATATATGAATAAGTATTGTCCTCACGATCTAAAATTTCTGGACATAATCATCAACGACATGTGTGACATTCTGGAATCAGAACGGCCCGTTCTGGTTTCA